TGTGACCTTGAAATTGACCTTTGACCTACTTTTTATGCTGAACTGCTTTTTGCATGTTTTCTGCCCTTTAAATCTCCAAAATTGGCAAAGAAATGCCTATGGTTACTATTGAACTTAAATAGAAATTCATATACTGTGATATTGAAATTGACCTTTGACCTACTTTTTCACCATGAACTGAGCTTTGCATATTTTCTTGCCCCTCACATCTTCAAAATTAGCAGAGATGTGGCCGGTGTTGCCCCTAGGTTTTCTCTTTTGTCAGCATATATGCAACACTGACAACACATTTCAAGGAAAACCAATAGGCTATTGTCTAGAGAATCACAGGAGTGATCAATATTAGGAAAATGCATGTCAGTTAGAAAATTTGCTTGATTGTACCATTTTTAGTTATATTTTTTTTGCATATTTTGAGAACTTGTTGATTGCATTTTATAGAGCTTGTCAAGCACAAGGCTGGTGGTGGTGTCCCTTTTTTTTGGGGGGGGGGGGAGTTCCACACGAATGAGCTTACTCCAGCGTGGTATCTTTATTTTTTATTGTCATCTTTATTGTCATCTTTATTTTTGGCTTTGCTGCCTTGTTTGCTGTTTGGTATCTGTATTTTTGTTGGCTTTGCTGTGATGTACCAGACGTTAAACTGCTAAAATACAACTTTTCATTAACGTTCTTTCAACACCCATGGTTCTGCAGCCCAGTTTTAGTGATATTTTCTAGCACTAGTACATTATTAAAATTTGGTGGTGATCATGTTGTTCAGCACAATTTGACATTGCATCAAAATTGACATAAAACCTTTTCCTTGCTAAAGCAGAAATATTTGTAATGATATTTTCAAATATTTTAAAGTTTAGATAATTGCATTAATTAAAATGCATTATATTTTTCTATGTACAGACACAGATGTGTCTGTACATATATCATCACCTGCGTCTGTTGTCGTCGCCGTGCACTTTTACCGATAACACGATAAGTGGAAAACTGTTTTTTATTTCAGCTTTTTTCAACTTACAGAATTGACGAATATTCATAATACGCAGGTCAAGTTCGAAAATCAGCATGATCGGGTCACTGGTAGAGAAGTTATGCTGTTTTTTCACTTTTTTCAGCATATATGCAGCACCAATAACACGATAAGTGGAAAACCATTTTACATTTTGGCTTGAAACTCACAAAACTGATGGATATTCATAATCCGCAGGTCAAGTTCAAAAATCAGCATGATCGGGTCATTTTTAGGGAAGTTACGCTGTTTTTTCAATTTTTTCAGCATTTTTGTAACACCGATAACACGATAAGTGAAATACCATTTTACCTTTTGGCTGGAAACTTACAGAACTGATGAATATTCATAATCCGCAGGTCAGGTTCGAAAATCAGCATGATCGGGTCACTGGTAGAGAAGTTATGCTGTTTTTTCACTTTTTTCAGCATATATGCAGCACCGATAACTCGATAGGTGGAAGACCATTTTACCTTTTGGCCTGAAACTTACAAAACGGATGAATATTCATAATAGGCAGGTCAAGTTTGAAAATCAGCATGATTGGGCAATTTTTATGGAAGTTATCCGTTTTTTTTTTTTTTTTTCAATTTTTTCAGCATTTTTATAACACCGATAACATGATAAGTGTAAAAATGTTTGTCCTTTTAAATTGAAACTTACAGAACTGACAATACGCAGGTCAAGTTTGAATATTGGCTTGATTGGACTATTTTTACAAAAGTTATGCTGTTTTTTTCCTTTATTCAGCAAACATGCAACACTGATAACGCATTTTAAGGAAAACCAATCAGCCTTTTGTCTTGCAACTCACAGGAGTGATCAATCTGACCAGTATACAGATCAAGTTTGAATAATGATCAGTTAAGTTTTGATGAAGTTATTAGCCTTTTTGTATATAAGTGGTTTTTCTTCAGATTTAATTCTTAGACATGTTAACAGTCTCATTATGGAACTAATGAGATATGTAAAAGTGTTGTTTTGACATTTTCTGCTTCTTAACAATATTGTAAGTTGATATATAAAAATGATGGTAAACCTATTATCGTGCATTGTGTAATAAAGTATCAAAAATGAAAAGGAACTCATCATTGCAGTTCGTCAGATTCAATCATTCACTATGTTCAGAATCTCCGAATGGAGCAAATTGGACATTTAAAATTGTTCTACTGATATTTCTCCTATGTCAGCAATTTTCCTAGTTGATCATTTAAAAATGACAGTAAATTGATTATTTTGTTTTATGTAAAAAGGGTGTTGAAAATGGAAAGAAAATCATTTCAGTACAGTTATCTCTTGTTTACATTTTGGCATTTTGAAAGTGTGACTCTGAACTTCCATGGCCTTGGAGAACTTTCCATATCACATTTTCTGAATATCCATGATACTTTTATTTTTTTATAAAAAAATTGATGGTCATTATGCTGTTAAGTATTATGTTATATTGCATGAAAGTTGAAGAAAACCCTATTTTGGACACTGCTGCCAGGATAGCGATTAAGGGAAAACCATGTTACTTATGATACTCAAACTTACTGAAAAGTTTCATAAGACTGAAGTGCACCTTGTGTTGGAAAACCAGTGTGATTGTTTTCTGTTTTGGAAGCAATGCAGTTCTATAGAGTGCTATATGGTACAATAAATGTATATGGATAGCAGGCAGTATGTTAATTCAGGGTTATTAAGTAATTTGCTTAATTAATTTTCAAGTTATTTCAGGGTTATTAAGTAATTTGCTTAATTAATTTTCAAGTGGCCATTAAATGAGATTACATAAAACACACGTTGAGATTTCATTGTAAAGTCCCATAGGTTTAGCTCTCTTAACTGTGTCACATAATTAGGAATCGATGATTATTATGCAGGTAAATGTTATTGTACCACCAGCGTTAGCGCTGGCGGTACACATGGTTTCGGTCCCGTCCGGATCGTTCCGCCGGCTCCGTTGGCTCCGCCGGCTCCGCCGGACGGCTACCGTTACCGCTTCTCCTCCTAGACGGTAAGGGCCCCCGTACCCATCTCATGGATTTAGGTCACCTATAATCTCAACTCGTTCCACGTAAAATTTGGGCTTTGTCGGTATTGGGGTCTGGGTGTGGCACTCATTGCAATGCACCCTTGTCTAAAAATGGCAAAATTAAATGCTAATTATCTACCCTACGGAAGGAGTTATGGGAAAAATTTCTATAGACGGCTTTCCAAAAGTCATATGTGTAGATTTCAAATATACCCTTGGATTTGACCTTTGACCTTTACTTCNATCCACTGTTATGCAGAATTAGAATTTGATGTTGGCTATGCAGTTACAGTAAGCATAATACATCAGTGCATCAGAATTGACAGTATCCTATTTTCTGCATTTTTATTTTCTGGTTTTTGTCTGTACATTTGACAGCTTTGCTGCCTTGTTTTCTTCTAGAACTAAGATATATGTTGAAGGAAAGCTGAATTACAGAGAAATTGAACACAGAGATTCAAATGCCATGGTGGAGACCGCTTATATATATGTTGGTAAGAGGAAAAAAAAATTGGTGTTCTTGCTGAAAGTATACTCTTGTAGCACACTGAATATTTTTGTATTTTTCAAAGTCAGGCCTACCCAACTACCAGACTCGGCACCGAATGATCCTGAATTCACCGGTAGATCAGACCACACTACCCGTTTTCAAGGTGTGTGTCAGATCGCATTACACAGTATCATACCCTGAACAAATTTTGAGTGGTGATGCAATGCTTTTCAACCCCGCTGAGAATCGTCACTATCACATCGCGTACTAGGTGAGAGCGGTGTTGCGTCTGATACTGTGAAATGCGCACTGATACACACCTTGAAAACTGGTAGTTTGGTCCGATTTACCAGTGAATTCAGGATCATTCGGTGCCGAGTCTGGTAGTTGGGTAGGCCTGAGAGTAATAAGATCTGCTGACGTCTACCTGGACACCTGAAGTAAGCAACTCTAACACAAGTGAACTATAACTGACTACTGCACTACCTGTGCAGCTCTTTATTATAGTACCAGTTATGCAAATGACCCAGTGCTACAAGTCCAATAAATATGATTGGCTAGTTTACCACTGCATAACCACTGCAATGCAACACTTAACCATAATTGTTTGAGATGTTATCACATAGTCATTATATAAGTTCTACACCCTGATATTTGTTGCCCCCCTCCCCCCTTTCAGTTTGATACCTGTAGACTTTCAAGGCTGATAATTTGGATTTTAAATCTGACCTTGAATTTGACTTTTGACCTATATTTCAAGGTCAAATGGGCCAAAATTTCATCTCAGTCCAACAAAAAATCATGAATTGTTGGTCTTTATGTCTGGCGAGTTTTCAAGCTGACTCGAAATGTGTAAATCTAAGGAATACATGGTTGTTTCT